GATGTCCGTCAGAAGTGTCTTTTAGATCGTCTCTGCAGCGGTAGTAAGGTAGGACAACTGGGTCCGCTTACCTTGCCTATTTTCAGACCAGCCTGTATCAACATACCTTGGTCATCATGCCTCGCCAAGTCATGAAATCTGCCTTTGGTTGTCCTTTGCCAGTCTCGTTGTCCATAAGCGCCCTAAGCAAACTATCCAAATGCGGGTCTACCTTGTCTTCGTAGTGTTTGAATGTGTCAAATCCTTCTTTGAGGTCTACACCCATGGGCGGGTGGACATAGTAGTTGATTCCTGACTCGTCTGCTTGGTAAACATGGTCGTCGTCGTAGGAGAAGTGGGCGATTTCACGGGGCCGCTTGATGGTTGCTGACGCGCCGCGGAAGCGATTGAGGGGCTGTATGGGAAATGTATGAACTCGAATGTCTGACTTTGGGGTGTTATTTTCAATAGCTGGTGCCTGTGTGGGTTCTGCTTTGACAGAGGCTGATGTTGTTGTTGCTGCTGCTTGTGGAGGTGCGCGAGTTCTGGGTCGCTTTCGGGGCGGTGACCTGTCCGATGAATCCTTAATAGGAGTAGGTGGTCTCTCCGGGAGGCTAGGGGAGGTCTTCATGGGTGTTTGTTCAGTCATTGCGTTGTCGTGTTTGTGTAGGCATGTTTGATGGCTGCCAAAACTACGCCGCGGAAGTGCATCCCCCACAAACCGCGGCTCTCGTACCTGACTAGCTACGGCGCGCCATTCATACCATGTTATGCCATGCGCCGACGTCAACAACATCGCATACATTACAACCTATAGCCTTCTTACAGTCACCAACACCACCTCTCCTGAGTTGTACAAAAGTGCGCGAAAATGGACAACCGTGCTATAAGACTCAACCCTAACACCCGGCGCAACCTCTTCGCCGCCCACACGGCGCAGCAACAACCACCCACCTCACGACGTCAGAACCAAAACGCACCTTCAGTCCGACCCGACAGCCGCGAGATTCAACAAGACATTTTCACGCAACCCGTTGAAGATGAGCTGGTCGAAAAGGATGCGCAGGGAGACTATATCATCCATGCGCCAACGCCCGTATACAAGAACATGGGGACGGCTAGCCTTGGGCCAGAGGCAGATGAAGAGGGCGGTAGGTCTTGACAGCACCCGGACATAGGACAGGAAACTGACTGTAACTAGAACATGAGAACGAGCTGATTGAAATGTACGGCAAGCCGAATGTGCACTGGGCTGCAGCGGGGATTGAAGAAGAGATCAGGATTGCGCTGAAGAGTAGCTTGAGGAAAAAGGTGGCGAGCTTGGAAGACGACAGGTGGATGTTCCAAGCAGAGAGCGAGAGCAAGAAGTGAAGTTTGTTCGGGCAACATGTACATGGCGCTGCGAGGAGTTTGGCGTTACAATACCCTTGGCATGGTGTTTTGGATCATGGACAAAATTGATATTAGCCGGGTTAGTTGTGAGCTTTTGGAAGTGATGCATCACGACCGAAGTAATAAATCTCTTAGGCTTATTCTATACTTGAGGAGTTGGTTACTCGTTTGTGCTCAAGTCCTCATACTTGCAAGCGTTCGCCTCGAGAACTCTCTGCACACAGGGACCCCTATATTCAGTTTCCAACATGCTTCCAAATCCCATTCGAAAGAATCCAATCATCCTCCAAGATCCTTCAGGCTCGCAACACGTCTCATCAACTTACCTCACCCCAAGCCTCCTAACCCTCACCTTCCAAGGACCAAGACTCTGTGCACGCTCCTGCCGTCCTTGCCCCTCATGCCTCACTGGGCGGGCGGTCAGACACGATACAAGGCGCTAGAAGGTGGCGGGTGGGGCACCACGATAGCTGAACATGTGGTTGAGGCATGCAACTCCAGACTCGGCACGTGTCTTACAACCGTGGTGTAAACCCATTACCCCCAAATCACGCCCACATACGCAATTGACATTGCAGAGCCCTATAAGCGCTTTCTTGCGATACAATCCATGCTTTGGCCCAAACAGTCGCTGGGCTGTGGCGGTGCAGTGTCTCACTGTGTCAACCCTGCCAAGACTCTCACCTTTACCTCAAATCACTTCACGACTGGCCTCCCAGACGTCCGACTCACTCTCTCCCGTCAACGGTGAACGTCTTCAGCGAAAAAAAAACTGCAACTTCCTGCCAATATCGTCACCTGACTGCTGGGGCTTCGGCGCCCGCTCTGAGGATATAAACCCTCCCCCCCTCGCTCCTTCCTCCTTTGCCTCCTCCACCCCACTGTCAATTTTCTGCCTCTTGCTTGAGCTTTGTCGACTGCAAAGTCTTGCCTTTACTACATCTCTTCGACTTGTACAACATTTTGTACATTTTCTTCTACTTTCACCGTCATGTCTCATACCTCTCCTCAGTCTTCAACGGCCCATGGCCCTTCGTCAAGCCCTTATGCCGGCACTGATCCCACTCTCTATTCACCTGACGTGGACCGCAAGACCCGTCTCGGCCATCGTCGTCAGATTACCGCCATTGCTGCTGGAAAATTGCCTGTCAAAGACGCCAAGGACCAACCCATCATCATAAAGGCCGCCCTCCCTCTTCCCCCCATCTCGGCTGACGGTACCTTCACCAACGAGCTATCCGAAGACGACAATGGCTATGTTTCCCGATACCAGTTCATCTCTCGGCTTCCTGACGGCACTCATGCTGGGCTCGACTCGGAGCACGAACTTTTCAGTGTTCAGCACCAGATGAAGCTTGTGACTACTTCTCCCCCTCTCCCGTTTCCATAAGCTTGGTTAACCCCCGCTTTAGTATGTTTGCTTCCTCAACGCTATTCCCTACTACTCTCGCGGTGTCTTCATCCGCTACGATGATCTTCGCGACGCTGCCGAGGGCAAGGACATCCTTGAGCAGCATGAGTTCACTGTCGACTATGTCACACCTTACGACTTCGCCAAAGCCAAAGCACAGGACACCGCCAGCCTCAAGGAGTTCGAGGGCCAGATCAAGCTCGGCATCGTCATCGATCCAAATCCTGACAAACCCGTTTGGGATTTCTCGTCCGAGGACCTGATTGAAGTCTCCAACTTCCTCAAGATCACCGCCCAGGCTTTTGGCGAAGTTCGCAACATCACTCATGTCGACTCTCTCCAAGACAAGATGATCATTGTGTATCGCATCGAGTTCTTCTCCATTGATGCTGCTGTTCGAGCGGTCCAGTCGTTGCGTATGGATCCGGTCTGGGGAATCAACCGCCACGTGAGTTTCCTCCCCCCTTCATTTTCTGTGCGCTCCTGCTAATGTCTTTGTAGAAATCATTCCAGTGGTGCACTTCCGATCCTGCTCTCTGGTCGGATGATCATACAGCGACCTCACCGAATCGCCCTAAGCCTCGTCTCGATGCCCATGGCCGCATCTACGGTTACCGCTTCGCACCCAACCATCAGATCCCCGATCAGTACTCCGACCGTCGTTCCAGTTACCACAACCATCCTCACGATCAGCATAACCGCGTTCGCCGCGAACGCATTCTCGATGGCAGCGACGTTCGCACCACCGTCATGCTTCGCAACATTCCCAACAAGCTCGATTGGGTACGTGGTCTGTTGCATTACCAGCTGAACTGAAACTGACTACGTCAATAGATGACCCTCAAGAACATTCTCGATGACGTCTGCTTTGGCACTTACGACTTCATGTATCTTCGTATCGACTTCAAGTCTGGTTGCAATGTTGGCTACGCCTTCATCAACTTCACAGATGCCAACGGCATGCTCTCACTCATCGACCGCATCGAGCGTCGGCTCTGGCCCGGCTTCAACTCTGACAAGACTGCCGAAGTTTCCTATGCCACTATTCAAGGCCGCGAGGCACTCGTCCAGAAGTTCCGCAACTCATCCGTCATGCAAGAGACTCCTTACTGTCGCCCTCGTCTAATCTTCACCCTCGCCGACGCTGAGATGATGGGCCAGCTGCGCACTGCTGGCACCGAGCAGGCCTTCCCTCGCCCGGACAACCTTTCCAAACTTCAGCGTTCCATGGATAGTGCTCGTAGCATTGGCCTCTACCCTCCCAATGGATACTCGACACTCACTGAGCACCGCAACCGCTCCAGCGCCTACGACCGTGGAGGCCCTCGCGATATGATGCAGGCTGCTATGCACTTTGCTCACCAGCGCATTACTCCTGTCCAGTTTGCCGGTCTAAGCGAGGCCAAGAAGCAGGACATTGAGACTTGGTACCTGTGCACCTATGGAGGCGGTCACTGTGGTCGCATCCCTTTTGACTGCATTCCCATGACCCATGTTACCCAGTACTTCAACGAGAATCCTGCTCCTACTCCAGTTCCAGGTATCATCGGTGCTCCAGCTAGCAGCCCTTTCTCCAACAGTGTGGCTTCCGCCATTCCTGACGGCACCCCAACTCGCCCTTCTGGTATGGCTCGTGGTCCAATCCGCCCCTTCTCCGCTCGTGGCTATGCGGATGCCAACACCAACCCCTTCTTGTAAGCATCGACATGATCGGTGCTTGTTTTCACGTCTATGGACAATGTTGCAACATCTATCGCATTTCGCACAAGTGCAGCAAGCACATGATTCCTTTGTTTGTTCGAATCTGTTTCAAGATGTTTGTCAAACAGGGCTTGATAATAGCTTCCTGGGAGTGGTACTGGAGACGCTACCAAGTGTGTGTCTTCCAGAATGATGTCGTACGATCTGGATTAATGATGTGGATGATGTGGATGATGTGGATGATGTGGATGATTGTGGATTGATGTGGTCTCTGACCTGATGATGGATCGCACTAGGGCTGGTGAAAGCACAGTGCTATAGTAGATAGCTTAATGTCTTAGGTAATATGAGCAATGGCTGCCATGATTGTGTCTTGTTGGTGAGTTATTGTGATTTCTTTGCATCTACAGTATACGGTCGTCCGGCTCTCATGGCAAGAACGATGTCTATGTTCAGTCTGAGAGGGTAAACAAGAGACCTGCTTGTTTATACATGGCCCTTGGTTGATTCAGAGTCATTACATGCTACTATCCAAGTTTGGCTCAACCCTGATAAATTCCCACACCACCCCTTCCGACAACTTATCCCCATTCCTCCCCAACTTCCTCAGCCCCTTCTCTGGGTTCACCACGACAGGCCTCAGCGTCCACCAATCCAGCATCTGCATCACGTAACCCCCTTTCGGCACCGGCGTCACAGTAAATTGGCGCCACCCACTCCCCAGCCCCGCCGTGCACTTGAGCCTCCCATTCCCATCATGACACACAAACCTATCAACACTACAGTTCCGCCACCCGAACCACCCTTGCGTCTCGACGCACTCCCAATAGATGGATCCGTGAGTCGCGCCACGCGCGGCTAGCACTACGGAGCCGTCGACTAGCGTCAACACGCTACCATTGTTGTCTGAGGCGGCGCGCAGAATGTACGTGCAGCCGTGCCTAGGGATTTGGGCTGTGACTTCTCCTGCTGCTGCTGCTGCTGGGTGGTAGTAGGAGGAATTACTAGCACCGGGAAGGGTGTGTTCCGAGGTCATCGTTGGGGTGTACATGGTGTGGCTGTCTGATGTTGCTGCTGTGTCGGACATGCATGATGGGGAGTCTGGGCGGCTGGTGTTGCTGGGGGGTTCATGCTGGTGCTGCTGCTGGTGCTGCTGGTGCGGTGATGTCATAGTCTCTCTTTTTTTTATTTGTATTTCTCGGATGCTGGAATGGGTTTGGGGGAAGGGCGATATGCGTTATGGCTGGTCTATGCATCTGTATGTACTGTATGGAGTTTATTCTAGTCTCCCTTGTTTGACCATTTTTGGCGGGCAGCGGCGGTATCTGCCCGACGGATTGTGGTTTTTCTCGACTATGGATTAAGTTTATGAGTAGGAGTAGTACAATTCCGGCTTAGTCGTTTGTTTCGTTTGTGGGACGGTCTCGGTGTCGGTGGTGGCGCTATGGATGTATGCGGGGTAGGGTGTGCGTATGCATGTAAGAGCGTGGCGAGACTTGTAGGCTCGGGCGCTTTGCGTTTCTTGGGCTTAAGCGCCATGATTGCTGGGGTTTTTTTGCGATCAACACTTGCTTGGCGAGTGCTGCAAGTGAGCGCCGATAAACGTCGCGACGCAAGTACATGCCAATGCACGGCCGAGCTTGGACGCCGTGTTATGCTGCATCAGGGTACAAACTCTATGTATGCCTCTGTGTATGGAGGTTTGTTGAATTCCAAAACTGGACACCCGCATGCTCTATTCAGAAAGTGGGTTTTTAGGTTTTTGGACCCTGACTGAGCGACCGAAGTCGATATGCGTTATGCAGAAGCGATGATCAACACGCCTGAGATCTCGCCATCTTATTATCTTTGTTATTAGTATTTGGCTAGCACAGACTACTTCCCCAATTGCAGGAAGAGGCGAAGATCAAGATTCGATTCCCGTCATTCATAAGGCGCCGCGATCGTGACCGTGTTATTGGTGCTTGATTCCTGGAAAATGGCAATCTTGAACGTGGGGACTTGCAAGTGAGATAACGTGTCCGTGCACCTCATGCACGGATTCATCTCGTGCACGCCGAACACCAAACGCGCGTCTCAGCGTCATAACTTCAACGCGCTATAACTCAACA